GTCGTGGTGACCCGCGATGACGCCATTCCTTTGATTGGCGTTTCAGTTCTGGCTGGTACGATCGGGCCCAAGTCTCATCCAACGTAATGATACGGCATAAAAAAGCATCTCCTTCACGCTCATAACGCTCCAGGTGGGTTCGGGCAGCATCCTATCGTAGCCATTTCTGCATTTCCGTCAATTGATGTGGAACACATCGTGAAGCAATTTTTCTCATGGACAGGCATTCCTTTAGAATTAGCAGCACAGTCGTATGTGCTAATCCTGTTTGTCCGACCAGCTCACGAGTTGTTTGGCGGCTATCACTGTCCATTAGTGCGGCAACAGTTTGTATCAGGGGTTGCCACGCTACCTGGAAAACTGGGAGAACTTTTGTCAAAATCTGGAAAAGTCAGGGAAGTTCATACAACGATCCCCCCAAAAAAGCGATTTTTGCGCCGACGTCGGAAGAGATAACTTTTTTGGCGAATTATGTATCACGTGAGTGTCATTCGGGTAGCTGGCATAGAGCCAATTTTCGCAGCTCCAATTTGATTGTCTTTTAGAAAGGCAAAGCAACTTTCCCGCAAGTTTTGGTTTCCAGTATTCTCGAGAATCGCATGTGCAGTGCATGAATTAAAGAAAGTACCTGTTCTCGTATAAAACAAAATGGGTTTAATCCTAGTATACGGTACCATGGAGGTTAGAATCAAAGAATATGTATTGTAAAGAAGGAAAACCTCTCTGCAACAGACGTGGCTGTGGCTCCGTTCCATCATAGAGGGAAACAGCTGTGCATGTCTGATATATCTGTCGCCAAAGCTCGAAACCTGTGTCGAAGTTTGAAGGTCACGTTATCAAGAGTTCATAAAATGAATATCGTTTAAAATTTCTTTAACCACTTGCGCTAAAAAGACGTGCCACGCACGTCGAGATGCTTTTGTCTCAAACCGCGAGCGACGTTAACACCACGTCGATAAGCATTTATCGCAAAAATGAAAATAACGTGGTGCACACGTCGCCTAACAACGAGATTGTTTATTTCTCGAGTTACAGCTCTGAATTGCACTCGCAGATGCGGAGCGGCGTAAATGAGACACTTTACAGCTTGTTATATTGTAGCGCATGGCACCGCAACCGTGAAGTTTAGTCTTAGCACAAGTGGTTAAACTCTAAAGGAAAAATATTTTTTGATGCAAGTAAATTAATTCATGGATTAGTTTTTTTCAGGAAAAAAAAAACTACGAAAATCCGTTTTTAAAATTATTGCGAAAAATCCAAGAAGAAACGCCCTTTGATAAAACGTTTCTTCTTGGATTTTTCGCAATAATTTAAAAACGGATTTTCGTAGTTTTCTTTTTGTCGAAGAGCGTTTCTTGTTAACACGTGTTTCTCAATTTCCTGTACACATCGCGGAGAGGGAAATTCTGGCCGCCAGGTTCCGTTGCCAAATCCCTTGGCAAATTTTCCTTCCGCATTCTAGCGGCGTAATAGCATTTTGCTTGTATGGAACCTTTTCTTCTTTACATAGACGTTCTTTGGTTAGAATAATAATAAGATTTGGCGACATCATGATGCGCAGTAAACGGGTCACTTTGGTCTTGGCGACAATTTTCAAAATCGTGCCAAAGCCTTACCGTATACTAGAATTTTACCGCAAAATCTTTTTAAACCTTTTTTTTTTTTCTTTTTAATAAATACCTTGCCATTTTGCAGTAAAATAAAAAAATAGTAATCAGTAATCTAGGCTAGCCATGTAATATAACTATATTCGCTAAAATATCGTTGATTATTATAATTCAATTTTTAAGTAATTATTTTTATGTTATTTATATAATTTAATGTTGCTTCTTCCCTCTAAATTTATGTATTATTAGTAAATAATATTTCCAAATTTCAGGAAATTTTTCTCTGGCATAATCCTGAAATTAATTATAGCAGTATGATGACATACCATCACGAAATTTAATGCACATATTTTTTTCCTTATGTATGCTGCGAAATTAATATAAAATACCTCAATTTATTAAAATAGATTTCTTTCTTTCGTTTAGCTGCAGAATGTCTGCAAAAAAAGCCTTATTTTATTCCAGATTGGGAAGATTCTAATCTCAATCTTCAGTGGAGAAAACAAAAACTATTATAATTATATTTGTGTTTTCAAGTGTTAAGGTGCCTTTTAAGGTGCAAATTAAATTTACCTAAAATCTAACCTAACTATTTAGCATTGCGTTGTGATTTATAAGGACCGGATTAGCCTCGTGTTGAACTGGTGATGATCATGAGTATTAATTAAATAAAACATACATTTGTTATCCAATGTATATATCTTAAATTTTATTAAGTTTCTTAAGTGTAAAACTAAACAAAATTATCAAAGTATACCAAGAATAATTAAGAATAAATGTCCTCTGGGATTTATTGAATAATTAAGTGAATTTGCTACACAATACAAGTAATACCATAATTAATTTACCTCTTAGCACAGCCAACGTACATTATGCGGATAGACTGGAAATTTCTTGAAACACACCTGGAAAACCTGGAAAAGTCAGGGAATTTCATTTTCCTGTTTGAGTGGCAACCCTGTTGTATGTCTGCATCGGTGACACTCGGACGACCTGGCCGCAGCATGTCTGCTACGTTTTGGCGTCCTTCATTGAATGCTTTCATCCATCTTGCTATGGTTCTGTAAGGCAATGCAGATTCCCCGCAAGCCTCTTGAAGCCCTTGATTACACTGTCGTGCTGTACGACCTCTGGCACATTCAATTTTTATCCAACATCGTTGTTCTTGTTTTGAAAACATCCTGACAACACTTACTTTAGACCACGAGCTAATACAAGGATTCGTTCTTCGCGTCACTCCGCATGCGCGTGACGTTGGTAGGACGAGTCTTTTTGCTGAGAGGTAAAGTAGGTATGTAGTTCACGTGTGGTATATGCGATATTCTTTGGTTTTGTTGCGTAGCTTTTTTTCAGCTGTGTTGCCACTATTAAAGTTCCAACCCTCGTATAATGTTCCAGTAATACACTAAAAGTTGTGCATCATTTTTTTCTAATCTTAGATCTACAGTTAATAAACTGTAATTAATAAACATAATTATACCTACATTTATTAGTTTAATATTAATTTTTCTGATGAGTTTTATATACTTTATGTTTCTGTAGTATGTGGCAAGTATCTATCTTTTGAAAAAAATTGCATTTGATCTGAGGAAGGCATTTAGCACAGTTGCAAAAGAATTGCTAGAAGGCCATTAACTGACTAAATGAATGGTATTTAATAGGGTCAAATTAGATTTGTGGAGCGGTTTATCAGTTAAATTTTAGTCTCAGAATCTTATTATATTTTGCACAATCTAACAGAACAGATTTTTATCATAGAAATAAATAAATAAATAAATAAAGAAGAAGAAGCACCGTAAGTATAAAGAATTTGCAGCCAAAGCAGAAAGAACTATAAATTTTTAGTGGGGGGAAGGGGGCTAAGGTAAGCTTGCATTATTCCTTGCATGCAATATTAAAATAGTCAGCATTTTTAAAATGGTGAAATATCTATAATTCAGCATTTTCTGAAGAAGAAAAAGATTTTTGGATATCCATTATACATAGCATTCAACATCAGATTGAATGCTTTATATATTTGTCTTTTCATTTCAATAGGAAGTTCTTTGTTGAATGAAAGGAGTACTGAAAAAATAGGGAGTTGTATTTAAGAACTTTAACTTATATACAGTCAAAAGTCTTTAATCCGGACGCGCTGGGACTTCGGCGATTCCAGATTATCGGTTTTTCCGAATTATAGATCATCAGTTTAAATCTGGTATGATGGCATGTAGAAATTATAAAATTAAAAATATGAAACCATAATTTATGAAAAAAAGAGCAATTATGATCTAAAGGGTATCAATATTTACAAAAAAAAAATGCTTAATATTTATTTATTTACTTTATTAAACATTTATTTCAACACGCGCATGCATAAAGCATACATTACGCATAGTCGAAATTAGAAAATTGCAGCCAGAAAACTATTTGATTTGTATTCGTAATATTTATAATGACGAGGAATTTGATTTAAATCATATCAAAGATGGAGTACATCGAGATGAAATACTACATTTAGTAAGGAATGATAAGCCGAATAAAATAAAAACATCTGCCCTGAAGATAAGGATAATGCTGACTGATCAACTTCCAGTTCATAGCACGCCGCGACGTCCCCCCCCCTCCACTGAGCAGCAAAACAAAGGATATGCCTTTATCCATTTTTTGAAGCAATTCCACTTTTTGTTTGATGGACATTGAAACATGCTTTCGCTTTGTAGATCCTATGGCAGCACCAGAATCGGAAATTCTTTTTGACATAATCGAAAGTTCAAACTTACTTTTATAATATTGCTCTAACAGTCTGCAAAAAATAATAAGCCGGATCCAATTAGAAGATTAAGGAACAACGCAATCTGCAACATTAACTGAAATAGATAATTAGATAATTTTAGCTTAGCTTATTCCGTCCGTTATACATTAAACGTGCATGTGTAAGCGTACTATGCGCATGTGCAGAAAGTTTGTAGCTTTGAGGTCTGGATCATAGATCATTCTGGATTATGGACATCCGTATTAAAGACTTTTGTCTGTACTTGCATATTTACATGATAGGAAGTAATTACAATTTAGAAGCTTTAAAAGAAAAATATGTCTTCTGTGAACAAGTAATCTGTGCCTTGAAAAGGATTTCAAGATATCAAATTTCTGAGAAGATTTCATATTTGAGTAGTATAGCATGATTCAATATTTAAAATATTATTGAAAGAATTATTGATAGAAAAATTATCTTCCTTTGGAAAAATTTGGGTGCTTTTCTGGGGGCTCGGAGACCTGTAGTAATTAATATTGTTGTTTTAAAGATTATTTAATAGTGATGTATCCTTTTTTTATATCTTATTGTAATATTTTATGTATGAATGTAGAATATATGTTCGTAGGTAGTATTAGTATGAAAATACCTCATTTTAGGGAAACTTTGTCTCATTCATCTTCAAGCTCCCGTTCTACAGTTATTTTGGACAGTCCAGCAGCAATACTTCATGCTAACAAAGTGCCAAGCCCAATTTTTTCAGGTTTAGATTTCCATCGAAATTCTGATGCCATGACTTCTGTCCCCTCTTTAGCATCAGCAGCTCCTATGTGTAACTTGAGGAAGGAAAGAATTGAAAATAGTGGAGTACCATACGCAAGAAGTAGAAGCCAACATGTGGCAACAAATATAGCTACATCAGTTCGAGCCTCAACGGCTGGAATACCCACCACTTTATCTAATTTATCTCAAGCAGCAAGTTCTCAAGCTGGAACTGATACTGATATTGCTTGTGCAAGAATTCATTTTTCAGACATATCACGAATGCGACCTCCTAAATCTAAGCACTATTATAGATACTGGGTACTCCCATTTAAATATATCAAGATCAGATTTGACAGACTTGCACTGTTGGCCCTGCTGGACAGGTTTGTTATATTTTTGCTTTTTATTATACACGTACATGTGTGTTATTTACACAGATAAATTTATTTGTATACATACAACAGAATCCTTTCTAAGAATTTTTGAATGCCCAAAAGATGAAAACTTTCTTATCAGGGAAGATTAGTTGAAAAGGAGAACTTATTAAAAAAAAGGTTAGTTACTGAACAAATGCAAAAACCACCAAGATTAATGAAAGAGGCAACTTTCTGATTTTTAAAATGATATATAATATATAATAAATAAATATGTAAATCTTATGTTTTTGGTTTTGGTAGGACTAACTAGTTATAGAAAAATCATCCTTAATGTAATGCATGTAACTTAATACCAAGGCTCAGATTTTCATGACATGTGCATTTTTTTAAGTATTTTCCTCATTTAAAGCACTATAGAAGTTTTTAGAGCTTTTTTGAGGCTTTTTAATAGCATTTTTGGGGCATTTCAAGAAATTCTGAGAAATATTTGAGTAAGTAAATTGAAAAATAAAGTTATTCTTGAAATAATACTGTCTCAACTCCTATGAACTACTTTTTACTGGTGTGTACGCTGAAAACATCATGGCAAAAACATCTCGGATGAAAATGTTGCAGAGAAAACAATGCTATTCAAAAACTTCGCAGTACAAAACACTATGGCATAAAAGAAAGTAAAGAGAAAAAATTGTAGTTCTAAAACATTATGGTACAAAATATCATGGTCGAAAATAAAGTGATGAAAAAACTTCGCAGTTTGAAAACTTCCTTGTTGAAAATATCGAGGTAAAAGATAAAGTACCTACAAAAAATCGCCTGACTATAATATCACACATATGCGTTTAATTGCTATATTTTCGACCACAGTTTTTTTTAACTACGACGTTTTCTCTTTGCTTTCTTTTCTGCCATGATGTTTTGTACCACAACATTTTCGCTTTGTGTTGTTTTCTCCATGATGTTTTTGCTGTGATGTTTTCAGCTGTAACCTTTACTGGGCAGGCATGTCTCATCGACAGAAAGCTCTTATTAATTAAGCGTATTTCAACTGGCTTTTCTCACAAGGTGTCTCTTATAAGGACTCCAAACAGGCATTTCTTAATTATCTGAGTGGAAGCACCACTTTTAATCAGTCATGAGATCTTTTCTCACTTGGTATATATTATTTCATAATTTAAAATATTTTACTTTCTCACTTTTTTTAATGATGTAAGTATTATCTGAATGAATGGGAGAAGAAAACAGATTCTAAGATAAGTAATTATACAAATTCAGCTAATAAATGCTGTTTAAATACAGGTCTTCATGAGCAGATACAAAAAGCCTTACCACCCAGAGGGTTAAGACTTTCTTTGCATGAATGCTTTCATAGGATTATATGTAGAGAAGAAAAATATATTCCACAGACACGCTCTTGGAATAATACACTCACCGCTTTGTGTAAGAAAGCTGTAGTTACTTTTTAGTGTTATAACAATAATCAGGCTTTAGATATTAATCGTATTTCAATTTCCGACCATGACTTCACATTAAAAAATGGCCTAACAGTGCCAAATATGGAAGCCGTATTTAAGTTACCATAGATTCTTTGCCAGCAGTACATTGTCTCTCACTGTATTTTAAGAATAGAATGATCTGAAATTATGTGATTCAAATTGAAGTCAATTGTGAATATGATTTGATAAGGATAATGCTGTTTTGTTTCAAATTACACAGAATGTTTTCTTTACAGACAAAATTGGAAAAAATCTTGCATACATCAGATTCAATTTCAAGATTCTAATTTCAAATATTAAATTCTTATAGATGCAAAATATAAAGTATATCGATGCAGTAACATTAAAAAAAAAAAAAAACAAAACTTGGTGACTTTTCAAAAAAGGTCAAAAGCAGATTTGCGGATAGTGCATTTACTAAATGTGCATTTGCTAAATTTAACACATCTGACTAAACACTCTGGCTTCATAACTATGCAGAAAGTATCACTCATCTTGACAGGAGAAGCAGACTGTTTGGAAACTGAAAAAGAGTTAATGATGAGAGATGCAGTTTTTTTTTTTTTTTTTTTTTTTTTTTTTTTTTTTGTATGCTCCAATGGCTGCACTAGATGGTAAGAGAAGCTTTTCCTAATATAAAAACTTATGTACTGACAACAGAATTTTTTTTACTTTCAAAAACATCAAGAAGTGCTTAATAATTCAGTGCAGTAGTGATACATTTGTGTAAGGTTGAAAGTTCAGAGACAAAAAATAAAATAAAGGTTTGTGTAGTTGTTTGAGTTTTAATCCTTGTATTAGTCATTGTGTCAATTTTATATTATTAATTTTGTTTTTCAGGAAATATTTAAAAACTTCTTTTTTTAAAGGCTCTTTTTTTCATTTTAAGGCATTTTCAGAGAATTTTTAGGTCATTAAAATAAGGTCTTTGCTTTTCACTATAACAATTTTCTGAAAATCAGGATTCAGCAATTAGCAGATGTACAAGCAGATCATAACTCACTCTCTTTTACATATATATTAACCCTTAACTGGTGTGCCTGTATGCTGTACGGATGTCAACATTTTTTCTTTTCTGGTTTTACCATATTTTTAATTCTAAGGAAACTATGTAGTATCAGTATGTTTCAACAGATGATGTAGCTTGTCCATGCTTTTCATCTTGGATTTTCTTTATGAGGCTGGGACTGAATGTTTTCTCTTTCGTGAAATTTCTGTTTTCCTAAGTGCAACATTTGTGAACTCAAAAACGTAGTTTTTTTTTTTTTTAAATTATGGATGAAGTAAGCAATGAAAATATCTTCTAGTTAGATGATGAACTGATTTCTGATACTGATTGAGAACTGTCTTCCGACTATCTGGATTATTCATCAGATGACTCATGCAGTGAGTTGAGCTCAGATGAAGATTTGAGTTCTGCCAGTTGATGTGAAAAATACATCTGTTCCATATCCCCGGTTTAATTTTATGGGCATTCCTTCTATGCATATGCAAGCTCATGACATTTTTTAAGTTCTTCAATTTTATGAAATGTTTATCAATTCTTCACTGATGAGTAAAATTTTGGAGGAGAGGAATAAATATGCTAAACAGTGCATCAAATCGAGTGTTACAAGAAAATTTTCAAAGAGTAAATTTTGGGAATAAACAACTCTTGAAGAGATGCATGCATTTTTTTTGTGCCGAATATGCTTTAAAGAATGGGGAGGGGGAACCTGGAATTTATCATTATTAGAGTATAAGACATTCAACTTACACACTTTTTTCTCTAAAATTAGGTCTCATCACCGATTCCTCCTTTTGCAGTGCTACTTGCATTTTTTGATAATGTAGTATTTGACCCACAAAATCAGAAATGCCCAAAGTTAGTCAAATTGTGGCCAATTCTGAAACATCTCAATAAGAAAATTAGTGAAACGGTAACACCAGAGAGAGAGAGGAGGAACAATAGATGAGAGCCTCATGCTATTCAAAGGGTGACTAGGTTGAAAACAAAATATTCCACTCAAAAGAGCAAGATTCAGAGTAAAATGTTTTCTTCTGTGTGTATCAGTTTTTGGTTATGTTTGGACAATAATATATGCACAGTTTAACCCGTGAGAGCGCACGTCGGGCCTGCGAGGCACGGTCGTTACGAAAACGTAATACAAAAATTTCTCTCTTTGGGGAAAATTTTCTACCTCCTCAGTAGCTGCATTTAAGGTCATGTACTTGTCATTCACAAGCATTTCCGGAATTTAACCCTTCAGCTTTTCTCAGAAACTGAGTAACCGGGCTTCCCGAGACCCGAGGCGCTCGCTCGCATTGTCATTTAAAGTTGTGAAAGAGATCAAGCAGTTGCAAAAAGGTCTTGCTATTTGAACTTACATGATGATGAAATGAAAAGACTACAGAAACTATTAGCCGAAGTGTCGACTGATGAAGATACAATTAATGAAGAGGACGAAGAAATAGTTGGTGAAGAACAGTTTAGTGATCACCAATCGAATTTTGAAGAGGCATTAGACTCAAGCGATGAATCTAGTAATGAATTAAGTAATTTTTTGCCCGTCAGCAAATTGTTATCTTTGCAAATATATTGTGACAAAATGGAATAAAAAAGAACCAAGACTTGCTGTGAGAACTCTTGCTCATAACATTGTGAGATAATTGCTCCGAAATGTTTGTGAAGCAAAATTTGTGTCCTCTCGTATGAATTCTTGGAAACTGCTTATGAATAAAATAATAGTAAAACTTAGCCTTATTAATTTAACCCACTTAACTTTAATTTTAATATTGTTTAGTAGATTGCGTGAACATTTATATCGAATCCATTGTCATCAAATTTGGAAGATAGAGAGATGCTCGATCGACATATATTACAGAAATCAGAGCATTTATCAGTCTTCTTTATTTTGGAGGACTCCACAGGGCTTCTCACGTAAATGTTCTCGATCTTTGGGTGACTGACGGAACAGTGCTTGACATTTTTCATCGAACAATGTCTAATAAACATTTTTTATTTCTAATGAGATGTTTGAGATTTGGTGACATAAGAGATCGCCCTTCTAGAAGGGAAATAAATAAACTGCATATGATAAGATATGCGTTTGAAAAATTGCAAAAACGTTTACAGTCTTGGGGTAATGGACCGAAAATCACACATTTGCTGTGCTATGTGCGAGAAAAACGTTTGTGGTAAAAAAGAAAAAAAAAAAAAAAAAAAAAAAAAAAAAAAAAAAAAAAAAAAAAGAAAAAAAAAAAAAAAAAAAAACAAAAAAAAAAAAAAAAAAAAAAAAAAAAAAAAAAAAAAAAAAAAAAAAAAAAAAAAAAAAAAAAAAAAAAAAAAAAAAAAAAAAAAAAAAAAAAAAAAAAAAAAAAAAAAAAAAAAAAAAAAAAAAAAAACAAAAAAAAAAAATGTGAAATGTAAGTTTTATTTTGAAATTATTGCTGTAAATTTAATATTGCATAAATTAGTACTAAATTTCATTTGCACCAAAATGGTTTTAAAATACAATTTTCTTACACTTATTA